CCGGATCCAGCCGCTGCTGAAACTGAACAGCGGCTGACTACAGGAAGCCCGAGGCAGAGTTGCTCTGCCCCAGGCTTCTTGGAATCAGCTGCTGATCAGTTTCAACCGTGGCTGAATCTGGACACCAGTTCTGACTTACATACAGATTCAACTTAAGAACAAACCTACAGTCCCTATCTTGTACGTAACCCGGGGACTGCCTGTATGTAACTCAGAGAAAGGAGAAAATGCTTTCTGTAAGCAGAAGGATGAGTCTGCATACTAACTACTGAGGCAAAGAAGACTGGGGAACTGGGAGCTCCCCACCCAACTCTCTCAACTTAGATAGAAAACACAGTGCAATACTCACATGCTGGATGTACAGGATGGTGATATGCTTAAAGCTGAGAGATCATAAGATCTGCCTTATATTTCACTGTGTCAGCAGGTCGTTCTGCAAACCTGAGAGTTACTTAAACACTGTGTGCCTCAGTTTCACCATCCCTACTGAGAGCAGGAGTGTAATGAAGCTTAATAATTAACTCCTTAGATCCTTACTTCGTTAAACTAACTTCCTTTCTCTTCAGTGATAGAAATGTAGCCATGTTAGTCTGGTGTAGCTGAAACAAAAATCAGGACTATGTAGCACTTTAAAGACTAACAAGATGGTTTATTAGGTGATGAGATTTCTTTACAAAGATAGCTTCCCCAATTATCACTTCTAATATCATTAGCTCACAGACATTTACCTTTCCCCCCATCCCCCTTCTGTTCTGAAATTTGATTTGTCCTTTTCATATGTGTTCATTTTTTTAATTGTATCCTTTGGTATATATGGTTGTGACTATTTTCTTCCACTATTTGATCTGAGGAAGTGGGTCTGGCCCACGAAAGCTCATCATCTAATAAACCATCTTGTTAGTCTTTAAAGTGCTGCATAGTCCTGTTTTTTGTTTCTTCTCTTCAGTGTTTCTCATAAGTAAAACTAAGGGATATACTGAACCCTTCTGCAAGAAGACCTTGAGGAGGGGACTGACGTGAACTGGGCTGGTAATCTCAGTGAGGTTTCCCTCATAGCAGTCTCTTCAAATTCTTCAATAGCAATAGAAATTAGGTAAGAAGCAGAGGTTTTGGTCCTCTAAATCAGTGTCTCTCAACCTTTTTTATTTTATATAAAGTACCCCTGTTAAAAAATATAAGTACCCCCCTTTTTTTTTAAAAAAAATTATAAGTACCCCAACTACCTAGAGTTTTCAGACACACACATTTTTTTTATCTACCATTGCAACACATTTGTTTAAACAACTTAATCATAGCTAGGCTGGCACTGAAATTTTTGGGTGTAAAAAGTACAAAAATAATAAAGCTCTGTAAAACTTAAAAACAAAATTCAGTTTTCTCAAATTTCAGTTGTGTTGAGGTACCCCCCAGACTTCTCTCGAGTACCCCTAAGGGTACTTGTACCACTGGTTGAGAAACACTGCTCTAAATAGCACAGGTGTTAAGGCATCTGATAGAGAGCTGGGCTGTCTTCATGAAGGCCCTTTGTCTCCCTGCTGCCTTCTAATTCCCTGTAACTCTCCCTTTCTTAGTTGTCAACTTCAGTTGAACAGAGCTATCACCATTGTTTCATCTTTTAAGTGCTCAGACAGCACAATGATGAGTCAGTGCAAAATAGGGAGAGAGCAGATAAACACCATAGTGTATTAACTGTTGGCAACGGCTGGCTTTTTAATGGATGCTATTATCTTGCCACCACTTAACTGGCGATTTTTAAAAAAATATTTACACGGCATCTTCCTCTGACTATCTTGGGAGCTGTGAAACCAGGATTTGGGTCTGTACATATGAAACCATGGAAGTCCCTTCTTCCTTCATTCATAAGTCTCTAATTTTTAATAGCTACAGTCTCCGCTTTGCCAGTTGTACCCTTACCAAGCCCTCCTCCAATTTAACCTAGTGTGCAAGAATTTCATGTTTTCTCTTCATTTAAATGTAAATAGCATTTGGTATCCGACTAAAAGCCCCATTCGGTATCCTCCTAGCATAGCAGTAAGTTATTGGATTTGTGTTTAGTCAAGATAATCCACATCTTGGGGTATGTCTACACTACAAAGTTAATTCGAACTAACAGACGTAAGTTCGAATTAACTTTGATAGGCGCTACACAGGCAAACTGCTAGTTCGAACTTAATTCGAACTAGCGGAGCGCTTAATTCGAACTAGGTAAACCTCATTCTACGAGGACTAACACCTAGTTCGAATTAAGTAGTTCGAATTAAGGGCTGTGTAGCCACTTAATTCGAACTAGTGGGAGGCTAGCCCTCCCCAGCTTTCCCTGGTGGCCACTCTGGGCACCACCAGGGAAACTCGTCTGCTCCCCTCCGGGCCCTGGAGCCCTTAAAGCGGCACGGTCTGGCTACGGTGCCCATGCCAGGTGCAAGGCTGCCAGCACCCAGCCAGCAGACCCTGCACCCGGCACAGATCGAGCCAGCCACCCAATGCCCCCCAGACCTCCCCCACTTC